GTGTACACTATTTTAGAAGGGTCAAAGCCCTTCTGAATAAACAGATTATATGGTAAAGAGACCAAAAATGATGGTTCTTTGGGCAGTCCCACCAAATGTGTCAAAATGTGCCATCATAAATGCATACCCCAGCAGGATGGATAACCAAGCATTGCATGTGAGAGATGGAAGGGTACCAAATACTATTGCATTAGAAACCCATAATTGGCTTCCATGGCTAGGACATTAATGGAGCTCTTCAATGTGTTGAACTAGATATCTTTCTACTTTTCTGGGAAGACAGAAGACTATAGACCTGATTCCCAGTTGGTAGTATACTTAGGTGCCAATGGTTAACAAGATAAAACAATTGCCGGATAGGTAGTGGAAATAATCCCTGGCGGATGGAGGTTTGTATTACAGATATGCTGAAATGCAGCAAACCACACAGAAACCCATAATTGGCTTCCATGGCTAGGACATTAATGGAGCTCTTCAATGTGTTGGACCAGATTTCTTTCTACATTTCTGGGGAGATAGAAGACTATAGATCTGATTCCCAGTTGGCAGTATACTTAGGTGCCAAACAATTGCCAGATAGGTAGTGGAAATAATCCCTGGTGTATGGGGGTCTGTATTACAGATATGCTGAAATGCAGTAAGCCACACAGAAACCCATAATTGGCTTCCATGGCTAGGACATTAATGGAGCTCTTCAATGTGTTGGACCAGATTTCTTTCTACTTTTCTGGGGAGATAGAAGACTATAGATCTGATTCCCAGTTGACAGTATACTTAGGTGCCAAACAATTGCCGGATAGGTAGTGGAAATAATCCCTGGTGTATGGGGGTCTGTATTACAGATATGCTGAAAAGTTGCAATAGGGAAGAACCATAATGTTTAATTCACTGAATGCTTTTCATTATGGAGACTGAAGCAAGATCAATCAGGCAACTAGTATTTTCAAGCAGCAGTTCATCGAGTCACCGTTGTCACTCTAGGACAGGAAGAATGTAATTGGCAGGATCACCAGGTTAAAATAAAAGAAAGAAGAGCCTGAAAAATAAAACTTTAACTACCACATCTAAGGATTGGTAACAATATACTGCATTTTTGTTTTAAATATTTTTAAGGTGTTCAGATAAAATTTTTAAATGTGGACAATATCAGCAATATATTGGGCTCTATACTAAAGATTAATATGAATTCACGACAGGTGAAAGTGTGATGCACACATAAGAGAAATAACACCATAATGATTTGCAGAAGGGTTTAAACACTGCCAAACAATAATTAATTTCGGAAGATTGCCATCCGTTTTCTTGCTGAGTGTGTCAGTAAAGGAGATTAATACTGACTGCCTTTGGCTCGGGTGTGTAGTCTGAAAAGCGGAAAATCTTAAAGTAGATCTAAACCCACTAAAATCGCATAAAAGCTTTAACAAGTGTATGTTCCCCTAAATATTTTTGTTCTATGTGTGTATTTATTTTATTTTTTGTGTAGTTATTTTATTTTTTGTGTTTTGTCGTGTGTACTTTGTAATATTACTATTACTTTCATGTACTTCTTCCATCTGAAGTACCTGGTTGATCCTGCCAGACAACATTCTTCCTTGAAGACCACACAAAGGATAGAAGCTACTCTGTGTTAGTGTAATCAGTTCTCATTCTTTGGCTGGCCATTCAGAGGTGCAGACACACGGCATGCCTGTAATAAGTAGTTTGTTTGTTCAGCTACCACACCCCTAGACCAATCACAGCCTGCCTCTGAAGCACACCCCCTTCCAATCAAAGCCTGCTTCTGAAGCACACCCCCCTCCCAATCACAGCCTGCCTCTGAAGCACACCCCCTTCCAATCACAGCCTGCTTCTAGCACACACCCCTGCCCATCACAACCTGCCTCTGAAGCAAACTCCTTCCCAATTACAGCCTGCCTCTAGCACACATCCCACTGCCAATCACAGCCTGCCTCTAGCACACATCCCACTGCCAATCACAGCCTGCCTCTAGCATACATCCCACTGCCAATCACAGCCTGCCTCTAGCACACATCCCACTGCCAATCACAGCCTGCCTCTAGCACACATCCCACTGCCAATCACAGCCTGCCTCTAGCATACATCCCACTGCCAATCACAGCCTGCCTGTAGAACACCCCCTCCCATTCACAGCCTGCCTCTGAAGCACACCGCCTCCCAATCACAGCCTGCCTCTAGAACACCCCCTCCCATTCACAGCCTGCCTCTGAAGCACACCCCCTCCCAATCACAGCCTGCCTCTGAAGCACACCGCCTCCCAATCACAGCCTGCCTCTGAAGCACACCGCCTCCCAATCACAGCCTGCCTCTGAAGCACACCCCCTCCTAATCACAGCCTGCCTCTGAAGCACACCCCCTCCCAGTCAGGCATGCATACAAGCACATGGAGGCCATACAGACTACTGAGGACCATTCTGAGTTGCTGCAATGACATTTCAGCAACATGGACTCGCCTGCTGCATCATTTCTTTACTTTGATTTTCGGGGTGTCTTTGAATTCAGTCCTCTGTAGGACGATCATTTTCATTTCCATCAAACAATGAGGTCGTCCTTATGCTCCTCACCCATCCCCCACCCATGTCAGGATAGAGATCCAGCAGGAGATTTGTCCCCATTGAGATTTGATGGGTTGTCAAAGTCTTCCTTTCATTTTTTTGAGCAGTGTATATTTTTAGGGCAAACTTAGTTTAAGATCCATTCTTTTGCTGACGTGTCTTAGCATTTCTGTGTACCGATACTACTTGGACCGGGATGAGGAGCAAATCCTTTAAAAGCTTGTCCTGGAAAAGTAACATGTAAACTTCTCCGCTGAAATGCAAACTTAATCCCGCCAACATTTGCAACATTTAATACGACCCCCGCCATCTCATCTGCAGAAAAAAATTAAATCTTCGAATCCTGTTCACTAAAACAGTGGGGTGGCAGCCCCTGTCAAAGCTGCCCCTTTCTACAGAGCCAAGCCTTCAGTAGATCATACGTTTAACACTTTACGGCAATGTCAACCATTTTCGATCAACCAGAAATTGAATTTTACGGCCAACAGCGGTAGCCTGACAACAAGCAATATACCACCCCTGGGTTTCATCTACCAGCTGAATTCTATCAAGCAACCTCGGCTATACATTGAAAGCTTCAATATAGGTTATTAAAAATATTGATTGAAACCAGAAAAATGGGGTATTTTATTAAAAGCAACTGGATTTCCCTTCAAGGCAATTTCGATCTCTGCTGCTTGTGGTCATTTGAAAACCAACTCCAGCTCGATTGAAAGTGGGGGATATTGCTGGAGAGTTGTCGAATATATGGCCAACTTTACTGACCAAATGCAGTATGCAGAATATTCTGTAGGGCTATGACCTTATACAGGGCAAGAAGAGTCACCCCCATTCTCCACTGCAACCAGAGGCATCCCTAGGATTGGTGTCACCCGGTGAGGTAACACTTGGTGACACCCCCTCCGACAATCCCCATAGAATGGATCGGATCAGCGGATTGAGTATAATGGATCGGACTCTGATCCATTATGCTGAATCCGCAGATCCATCCTCCGGGGATCGTTGGCTTTCTTTACAACTTACCTTTTCTTGGAGCGGGTCCAGTGTCACCCTGTATAGGTTGCATACCGATGATCCTGCGGGGATCGTCGGCATGCAACCTATACGGGTTGACTCCGGTGTAGCGGCAAGATGTGTCTCCCATGTAGATATGTCCCCCCTGAAGCAACTGCGCATGTCCTTATGTCTGAAACCGGGACATGCGCAGATGCTTCAGGGGGGACATATCTACATGAGAGACACATCTTGCCGCTACACCGGAGTCAACCCGTATAGGTTGCATGCCGACGATCCCCGCAGGATCATCGGTATGCAACCTATACAGGGTGACACTGGACCCGCTCCAAGAAAAGGTAAGTTGTAAAGAAAGCCGATGATCCCCGCAGGATGGATCGGATCTGCAGATTCAGCATAATGGATCGGAGTCTGATCCATTATGCTCAATCCGCTGATCCGATCCATTCTGTGGGGATCGTCGGCTTGCTTTACAACTTACCTTTTTGTGGAGCAGGTCCGGTGTCAGCCCGTGCGGTTGGTGTCACCCGATGCGGACCGCACCCCCTGCACCTGCCTCGGGATGCCACTGACTGCAACTCAATCAAAGTGGGATTCTTGTTGGAAACCACTTACACTGCTTACCTAAAAATCAGTTTTAAAGTGCAAGTCCACTCTAAACCTGAGGTTAATGGTTGAATGTTGTTTACCTTCATACATTCTATGCATGAAGGCAGGGCTGCTGTTGGAAACCATGGGGCCCCATACAGCCAACCTGTCAGGGCCCCCTGCCCCCCCCCCCCCAAAAAAAAAATGCAGTTTACTAGGATTTAGTTATGAATGAACACAGTGAGTGATCAGTACTGATCACTCATTGTGTTCGTTCAGGAAAGGAAGGGGATGGTAAATGTGACACATTTACTGGACCCTTCCCCCGCTCTCCATCCTGAAGGATCCTATTGTGTGCTTGCAGCTACTGGTGGGAAGGAGAAGAGGTAAGTCGGCAGCACTGAGGGGGTGGGGGCGCTCAGGGGGGCCTGGGCAGCAGGGGGGAAAACATATGGGGCATAGGGTGGGTTTTGGGTGTGGGGGGCTATTACTGGAACCAGAGCCTTCCTTCCACCCACCCCTCCCTTTTTCCTTACACCCACCCCTCCATTCCTTTCACCCCTCACTTCCATCCTTCCACCCACCCTTCCTTCCTTCCTTCCTTCCACCCACCCCTCCCTTCCATCCACCTCTTCTTTCCTTTCTTCCATCCACCCCTTCCTTCCTTCCTTCCTTCCTTCTTTCCTTCCTTCCACCCACCCCTTCCTTTGCTCCAGGGTCCGGGGAGAGCGGATATAGTGAATGCGGGGTCCGGGGAGAGCGGATATAGTGAATGCAGGGTACAGGAGAACGGATATAGTGAATGCGGGGTCCGGGGAGAGCGGATATAGTGAATGCGGGGTCCGGGGAGAGCGGATATAGTGGATGCGGGGTCCGGGGAGAGCGGATATAGTGAATGCGGTGTATGGGGAGAGCGGATACAGGGGCGGACTGACAACTCATGGGGCCCCCGGGCAATAGGGGATCATGGGGCCCCTGTGTCCAAATTTAAAAAAGCCTATGAAAAAGGTATCAAGGGCATCTCATGGGGCCCCCTACTGACCCCGGGCCCTCGGGCAATGCCCGAGTTTCCAAATGGTCAGTCCGCCCCTGGGATATAGTGAATGCAGGGTCCGGGGTTTTATAACACTTTAAGTTATAATTTGGCATAAAGTTTGGGCTTCCAGTTGGAATTAGTATGGAATCCATTAACCGCTTGCCGCCCTGCCACTGTGTATATACGTGTGCAGGGCGGCAGTGGAGCGCAAAACCACGTTTAAAAACGGGTTCCGCGCTCCCGACACTTTCGCCGGCAGGGGGCGCGCGGCGCTCCCGCTCCCGCCGACCCGCGGGTGACACGATTTGATCCAGGAGGGATCAATCATTAGATTTCAGCCAGTGATTTCTGGCTGAAATCACATGATCGGTCCCTGTCCTATCCTGTCCTGTGTTGACATACACACAGGGCAGGATATGATGTCATTCTTCTCTGCCTGGACACATTCCGTTCCAGACAGAGAAGAAGACATCCAAAAAGTGAGTACACAAGCACTACACTACAGTTAGAACACTCTAGGACACATTTAACCCTCTGATCGCCCCCCCTCCCCCCCAGTTAACCCTTCACTGCCCTGTCACCAGTGTCACTGATCAGTGAAGCGATTTTTACTGATCAGTGTCGCTGGCGACTTCCGATAGAGTTAGCGCCCCTCCCAGATAGCGCCAATTTGCCCGCCAGTACACCAGTAATCCCGTTTAACCCCTTGATCGCCCCCCCCCCCAGTTAACCCCTGCACTGCCCTGTCACCAGTGTCACTGATCAGTGAACCAATTTTTACTGATCACTATATCAGTGTCGCTGGCGACTTCCGATAGAGTTAGCGCCCCTCCCAGATAGCGCCAGTTTGCCCGCCAGTACACCAGTAATCCCGTTTAACCCCTTGATCGCCCCCCCCCCCCCCCCCCAGTTAACCCCTGCACTGCCCTGTCACCAGTGTCACTGATCAGTGAACCAATTTTTACTGATCACTATATCAGTGTCGCTGGCGACTTCCGATAGAGTTAGCGCCCCTCCCAGATAGCGCCAGTTTGCCCGCCAGTACACCAGTAATCCAGTTTAACCCCTTGGTCGCCCCCCCCCCCCAGTTAACCCCTGCACTGCCCTGTCACCAGTGTCACTGATCAGTGAACCGATTTTTACTGATCACTGTATCAGTGTCGCTGGCGACTTCCGATAGTGTTAGCGCCCCTCCCAGATAGCGCCAGATTGCCCGCCAGTACACCAGTAATCCCGTTTAACCCCTTGATCGCCCCCCCCAGTTAACCCCTTCACTGCCCTGTCACCAGTGTCACTGATCAGTGAACCAATTTTTACTGATCACTGTATCAGTGTCGCTGGCGACTTCCGATAGTGTTAGCGCCCCTCCCAGATAGCGCCAGTTTGCCCGCTAGTGCACCAGAAATCCCATTTAACCCCTTGATCGCCCCCCTCCCCCCCCCAGTTAACCCCTTCACTGCCCTGTCACCAGTGTCATTGATTACAGTGAACAGATTTTTACTGATCACTGTAATTAGTGTCGCTGGTGACTTCCGATAGTGTTAGCGCCCCTCCTAGATAGTGCCAGTTTGCCCGCTAATGCACGGAATTTTTTTTACCAAAAACATGGAGCAGAATACATTTTGGCTTAAATTTATGACTAACTTTGAGTTTACGATATATTTTTTTTATAGCTGAAAGTAGAAATATTGTTTTTTTTTCAAAGTTTTTGTGGTTTTTTTTTTTATAGCGCAAAAAATAAAAAGCGCACAGGTGATCAAATACCACCAAAAGAAAGCTCTATTTGTGTGAAAAAAAGGACGTAAATTTTGTTTGGGTACAGCATTGCATGACCGCACAATTATCATTTGAATTAGTGCAGCGCCAAACAGCAAAAAAAGGCCTGGTCATTAAGGGGGGTAAATCCTCTGGGGCTCAAGTGGTTAAACGGCTTTATTAATTCAGCAAACACCGGGAGGGTTGCCGACATCTACCTGGAGAAGTTTGACATTTGAAGCCACTAAATTGCTCAATTTAGTCACATTTGCTGGTCACTGTTGGTACACTTCCTCCGCCATAGAATAATACAACCAGAAACATGTACATGGTGTTGGCAAGTAAAACAAATTCTATATTTTTTTTCCTACTGTACATTGAGCTGTTCAGAAGGGTTTCCCCATCTTACTTGAACAAAAGTATTCCTTGACTCAAATCTGAGATCATCAATCTATTTGTCAATGTCTTCCAGTTCGGAACATCCACGCTTTTTTTTCTGGTCAGTCCAGAAAGGACGATCCATATTATGAATGCGTGGCCAATCGCCCTGCCCACCTAAAACACTGCAGTCCGATCATTAAATCTGACGTACATCTCACTAATGATCCTTTGGACTGAGAAATATCTTTTCTTTGTCAGGACAGGGCAGCTCATAGCATTGATTAGACATGATATTTACAATAAAATCCCATTACATTTTCTTCCAGCTCTGGGCCATGGAAATCTGGATACTGGAACTCGGAAGCTGGGCGTCAGCAATCATCGATCAATCCAATGTTGGAGCTCTCATTTCCAATGAAATCATGTTTATAGGATACATTGTTACTGGATGGCACACATTTGTATACAATTAGAATAATTTGGTGTTCTCTTCCATGTGATAAGGATAGAATTGCATATTTACAATTTTTTTTTTGCTTTTTATTCCTTCAGCAATGTCTTTCACTGGAAAAAAAGGACAGCTTACAATTTGTCATTAAAATAGAAGTAGATTGTAAGCTCCCAGGATCAGGCCCTCCTAACCCTCTTGTATTGAACTGTATCGTTGCTGTATTTTCTCCCGGTATATTGCAAAGCGCTGAGCAAACTGTCAGTGCTATATAAATACTGTATAATAATAATAATAAACCCAATTAATAAACTCTCACATCAGTATAGCAATCCCTTGACACCCCACATGGAAAAAAAATATATTTTTAAAATATTCTTCCCAACTATATTGACATATATTTACAATACTACAATTTGGCCGTATTCAATATATTTTTATCTATATATCTATCTGACCCTTGGCGATTGCATGGTCTGTCACTTGCAAGCAACTTTTTCCATGATTTCTCTTAGCAATTATTTTTACAGGGTAGGTTGCCAGGTCTTTCCCCAACCCCCACCATGCAGGAGATCCCACATGGCCAGGGATGAAACTAGAACAATTTAGACAGGAGCCAATTAACCTACCAGCATGTCTTTGGAGTGTGGGAGGAAACCGGAGTACCTGGAGGAAACCCATGCAAAACACAGGGAGAACATGCAAACTCCATGCAGGAGGTGCCATGGTCGGGAATCGAACCCATGACCCAAGTACTGCAAGGCAGAAGTGCTAACCACTAAGATATAGATATACTGTATATGCGCACACACATGCACGCATGCACGCACCCACGCACTCCTGCACGCATGCACACACACACACCAATCTATCGTATGTTGAAATGCGTTTTTTTTATATATTATAAAATAATTTTAAAAATATTTTTTTTTTAAATATATTTCTCTGAATTTTTTTTTTAAATATAAAGAGTCATTTTAACATATACTTTTCCATATATTTGTAAATGCATTCCAAAAAATGTAGATTAAATGTAGTTTTAAAGACATATTTGAAAATTTTATAATATAAAAAAAAAATGCATTGCAACATATAGTGTAGAGATAGATAGATAGATAGATAGATAATAGATAGATAGATAGATAGATAATAGATAGATAGATAGATAGATAGATAGATAGATAGATAGATAGATAGATAGATAATAGATAGATAATAGATAGATAGATAATAGATAGATAGATAGATAGATAATAGATAGATAGATAGATAATAGATAGATAGATAGATAATAGATAGATAGATAGATAGATAATAGATAGATAGATAGATAGATAGATAGATAGATAGATAGATAGATAGATAGATAGATAGATAATAGATAGATAATAGATAGATAGATAGATAGATAGATAGATAGATAATAGATAGATAGATAGATAATAGATAGATAGATAGATAGATAGATAGATAGATAGATAGATAGATAGATAGATAGATAGATAGATAGATAGATAATAGATAGATAGATAGATAGATAGATAGATAGATAGATAGATAGATAGATAGATAGATATAGATAGATAATAGATAGATAGATAGATAGATAGATAGATAGATAGATAGATAGATAGATAGATAATAGATAGATAATAGATAGATAGATAGATAGATAGATAGATAGATAATAGATAGATAGATAGATAGATAGATAGATAGATAGATAGATAGATAGATAATAGATAGATAGATAGATAGATAGATAGATAGATAGATAGATAGATATATTTTGGAAGATATTGAATACGGCCAAAATTGTAGTATTTCAAATGTATGTCAGTACAGTATATTTGGGAAGAATATTTTTAAAAATATATTTAAAATATATTTTTCTTCCACGTGGGACCCCAGGGGCATGGTGGCACCTCCAGTGGCCAGCATTTCACTCCAGGGCTGGGTCCAGAGATAAAAATGTGGTGCTGAGAAGAACATTGGGTGCCAGTTACTTTTCATCTTTTTAAAGATTTATTTCAGAACAATCAAGGAAAATGGGGGGGGGGGGGGGGGGTTGGGGTCCCCAGACAAGTAGCTGCATCCACAGGTACCTCTCGGTGGGCAGACTGTGACAAAATTAGGTTCACCAGGAGCACATAGGTCTCCAATAGTTTAGTATTTCTAAAAATATAGGAAGAAAACACTTCAGAAGAAGGAGTGTAAACTTGTTTACATGCAAAGCCGCTGCCGCCCCAGGATCGCGCAGCGACATGACGTCAGCACTGGAAACTCCTCCCCTAGTGCTGTGAAAAAGTATTTTTTTTTTTGCATATCTGTCACACTAAAATGATTCATATCATCAAACAAATGTTAACATTACACAAAGATAACCCAAGTAAATACAAAATGCAGTTTTTAAATGATGATTTCATTTATTGAGGGGAAAAAAGCCGTCCAAACCTGCCTGGACCTATGTGAAAAAGGGATTGCTCCCTATACCTAATAACTTATTGTGCCACCATTG